CAGCCTCGGCCCCGACTCGGTGCTGCTCGCCGTGCTGTATCTCGGCTGTATCTCGGCCATCTCTCGGCCATCTCTCGGCTATCTCTCCCTGCAGGTGCTGCTCGACGTCTGCTGCGGCACGGGCACCATCGGGCTGGCGATGGCGCGCTCGGTCAAGAGAGTGATTGGCATCGAGAGCAACGCGCAGGCGGTTGCCGATGCGGCCGCCAACGCCGCCCGCAACGGCATCACCAACGCCGAGTTCATCTGCGCCAAGGCGGAGCAGGCGACGCGGCAGGTGCTCGAGCGGCTCACTCCGTCGGAGCTCGACTCGCTGGTCGCCATCGTCGATCCTCCCCGCGCCGGCACCCCGAGACGTGGTCGAGGCCTACGACGACTTGTTACTCATAGCGATTGAGTAGTGATGAGTGGTAGGCCTCCACCCCGACGTGGTCAAGGCGCTGCGCCGTTGCGCGCCGCTCCGCCGCCTCCTCTTCGTCGCCTGCCACGCGCCCGCGTTTGTGACCAACGCAGTCAGTTTCTGCCGCCCCACGTCCCCCTCCTTTGCGGGCGTCCCTTTTGAGCTCGTGCAGGCGTGGCCGATCGACCTCTTCCCGCACACGCCGCATTGCGAGCTGGTCACTCTCCTCGAGAGGTCGGACTTGGTGGCCGAGCGCGAGGCGGCGCAGGAGGCGGCGCAGGCGGCGAAGCAGGCGCAGGCGGTGCAGACGCAGGCGGCGGAGGCAGCATCCACGCCCACCGATGCGGCAGAGGGCGGGGCGGTAGGCGCCGCGGCGGCGGAGGGAGCGCTAGGAGCGCCAGAAGAGTCTGCTCTCTCGCGCGCAATCTCAAGCGCACAGGCCGTGGTCGCTAGCGCCGCGTCCGTGCCGGCGGGGGAGGCGGAGGGTGCCGCGCACGACCATAAACAACACGCCGCTCAGCGGCCGCTGTTGGCCGAGGCTGACGGTGCAAAAGTGTAAAAGCTCCTTGTGCGGCTGCGGCATCGCACAGTCGCGGGCTATTTGCAGACAGAGAGCTTTACGCATTACGGATAAAGAGAGCATCCGAGAGAGCATGTCAGCCGAGTGTCTTGAGACAAACGGCCTAGAGAGAGCATGTCAGCCGAGAGAGAAAAGGGAGAATGTGCGCCACTTTCTTTTTTCTGCCGAAATTCTTTTGGAAAGCGCCTAATGCCAGATTACCAGGCTGCAAACCAGGGGGCAAGTGTGTGTAGCACCTTCGACCCCGAAAGGAAGGTCACCACACCAAACCGGGCGCTAGGAGAGGTGAACTGAAGGCTGAGACAAAACGGAGGCTGAGCCTGAGTGGGGGCGCCCGCGCGCGCCCACGCAAGCAAGCCTCTGTCCTTCGCGCTTCGGCCCATTCACTGCATGGACTTTGGGGGCGGGGTTGGTTGGGGAGAACCGGCACGGGGAAAGCCGGCCCAGTAGGGCGCCGCGCCCCAGCGTAGAGGGCGTCGTGTAGCCCACCTTTTGGTCTAAAGGTGTCGGCGTAACACAGGGGATCCCGGTGCACGGGATCGAGAGGGCAAGGCCTGAGTCTCACGTGCATGGTGCCCCACGTGCCCATGGTGGCGGTGCTCGTTGCGTGGATCAGCGTCGGCAACACGCCGCTGCTCGATCTGAGCGCGCTGGCTCCCGACTTGCCGAAGGGCGTGCGCGTGCTGGGCAAGGCTGAATTTTCCAACCCGAGCGGCTCCGTCAAGGACCGGATTGTCGAGTACATCTTGGATGAGCAGGAGCGAATCGGCCGGCTCACGCGCTTCTCGGGGCCAGACCATCGTCGCCTCCTCGTCGGGCAACACGGCACCTCGCTCGCCATGTTTTCTGCCCTGCGAGGCTACAGGTGCATCGCCATCACCAACCGCGGGACGAGCAAGGAGAAGGTGCAGCAGCTGTACGCGTACGGCGCGGAGGTTGTCGTCACGGCCTCCGGCGTGCCCACCGACTCGCCGGTGCACTACCAGAACGTGGAGAAGCAGCTGGTGGAGGAGAACCCAGGCTACTTTGGCCTCAACCAGTATGACAGCCCGCTCAACCCAGAAGCGTACTATGCGACGCTCGGGCCGGAGCTGTGGGCGCAGACCAACGGCAAGATCACGCACCTGGTGGCTGCCGGCTCCACCGGAGGCACGGTGAGCGGCACCGCGCGCTTCCTCAAGAAGAAGAACCAGGCGATTCAGGTAATCATGCCTGACCCGCATGGCTCCATATTTTATGATTGGTGGGCGCATCGGAAGCTGGTGAAGCCGACGTCGTTCGAGGGGCTCGATCTCTCGCTCATCGACGTCATGCCGCGCTTTAGCGACGAGCAGGCCTTCGCCACGTGTCGCACCATCGCCCGCCGTATGGGCATGATGGTCGGTGGCAGCGCGGGCGGCAACGTGCACGCCGCCCTCACCTTGGCCCGCAAGCTCAAGGGCCCGGCGACGGTGGTGGCCATTCTTTGCGACTCGGGCACCAAGTACCTCTCCAAGATTTTCAACGATGAGTGGATGGCCTCCAAGGGCTATGACGTCGCGGCGATGGACGCGTCCGCCGCCAACATTCCGCACCATCCCAAACAAGTTTGGCCCCCCGTGGGAAGGGGAAGGGACACTGAGTTCAACTGACACCTCCGTGGCGGCGTGGAACAGCGCCGACACGCACCAGAACGGGCACGTGAACAACCTCACCTTTGTCCCCTGGAGCAAGATGGCCTTTATAAATGCAGCTGGCATCGCATCTCGCGGGGCGAACGGTCTGAAGAACCAGTCAGGAGTGAACGCCGTGGCGGAGAGCCAGAAGAAGGGGCTGAGCGGTGATCGCACGCGCCGCCAGGACGACTGAGGCTCGTCGTCTATGAAGTACCGTCTGTTGGCAGTGCAGCGTCCAGGCACTGAACGTGCGGCCGAGTGCTAGGGTTCGCGAAAACGGTGCAGCAATCAGTTCGAGCGGTTCAAAGGCACCGCCGACATCGACGGCGCGCAGTTCTTGTTGAACTCGCGCTTCACGGAAATGATCTACACTAGAAGGCCGTGCGTGGAGATTGCCACTGCTGCGATGCGCTGGGTGCACTTGTGATGTCATTCGCATCTCATCCAAAACGCTCACCAGCGAACGCCTCGCACGAAACCCTGTGATACAACTTCTCCACCAGAAGTGTGTGGTGGTGCCTCCCGCCCAGCGTCTCTCTGCACCCGTCAAGAGCCTCGCGATACAGCTCCTCCGCCCCATCCAGGTCGCCCTTGGCGCGCAGCAGCCAGCCGAGGTTGGAGATCGAGACGAGCGTGCTCGGGTGCCTCCCGCCCAGCGTCTCTCTGCTTGCGTCAAGAGCCTCGCGACACAGCTCCTCCGCCCCGTCCAGGTCGCCCTTGTCGTGCAGCAGCGAGCTGAGGTTGTTGATCGAGACGAGCGTGTCCGGGTGCCTCCCGCCCAGCGTCTCTCTGCTTGCGTCAAGAGCCTCGCGATACAGCTCCTCCGCCCCGTCCAGGTCGCCCTTGTCGTGCAGCAGCCTGCCGAGGAGGTTGATCGAGGTGAGCGTGTCCGGGTGCCTCCCGCCCAGCGTCTCTCTGCGCGCGACAAGAGCCTCGCGATACAGCTCCTCCGCCCCGTCCAGGTCGCCCTTGTCCTGCAGCAGCCAGCCGAGGTTGGCGATCGAGGTGAGCGTGAGCGGGTGCCTCCCGCCCAGCGTCTCTCTGCACGCGTCAAGAGCCTCGCGAAGCAGCTCCTCCGCCCCGTCCAGGTCGCCCTTGTCCTGCAGCAGCCCGCCGAGGTTGGCGATCGAGGTGAGCGTGTGCGGGTGCCTCCCGCCCAGCGTCTCTCTGCACGCGTCAAGAGCCTCGCGATACAGCTCCTCCGCCCCGTCCAGGTCGCCCTTGGCGTGCAGCAGCCTGCCGAGGTTGGAGATCAGAGACGTGGTGCCCCTCTCCTCCTTCGGCACTTTAGCGAGAGCAGCGCGGCCCTCGTCGGCGAGCCAGCGCTGCAGGGAAGCGCAGACGGCGGTGTTGACTGCTGCAGGCCCGCCCGGCAGCGAGTCGATCTCCTTCCGAATGTAGTCTCGGTCCTCCGTCTTCGAGATTTGAGCGTCCCGCGCGTCGACGCCAGCGACGATGCCGGCGATGTCGCGGAAGCGGCCCGTGAGCAGCCCCTCGAACCCGGCTCGGTCAGAGTCGTTGAGGACGACGTGCAGGTCGCAGTCCTTCTGCAGGCACTTCCCCATCTCGAAGATGCACCACGCGCGCGTGATTGAGCCAGGGCCGCTGCGCGTCCACATCTCAGGCGGCTCTCCGCGCTCTGCGAAGAGGTACAGGTGCGGCGGCGCATCCCACTCCCCGGTGAGCGGAGACATGTAGAGGAGCAACTCCTTCACCGAGGCGAGCGCGTCCCCAAAGATGTTGTCCGTGTCCTCCTTGCGCGCGAGGTAGGCTGGGTGCGCACCTGCAGGCGCCTTAGCCTTGAGCTCCGCCTTCTCTGCGTCGCTCGCAAAGTAGTGGCCAGCGAGCAGGTTCTGGGACGCGCAGAACATGTCGACCCACACATACCGCTTGCGGCCGTCCGCCGCCTCGAGCCGCTCCAGCTCTCGGTCCACCGCGCCCAGCATGTCGCCGAGCTTGGTGCCAGTCCAGGAGTAAGAGAAGAAAGTCTCCGCCTCCCCGACCAGCGAAGTGGCGTCTTCCTTGCGGGACTCGGCGCACAGGACGATGCTCTCGGCGAGGGATAAGCCGGTGCTGAGTGTGAGTGCGCACACACTCGTCTCCGATCCGGCCTCCTTGCACACGTCGCCCATCACCTTGTCCAGCAGGCCGACATTGCCGAAGAAGCAGCGCGCGCCGCGCACAAAGTCACGCGACACTCCGCGCGCCCCACTCGGCAGGCGGTCGGAGTGGGAGCGCACGGGGAGGAGCGGCCGCTCAGTCGCAGTGCGCAGTGCCTCGAGGAGGAGGACTGCTCGCTCCCACTCTTGAAGTGGCACAAAGACGTCTTTCAGCGCCAAAGCACCCACATCCGCGGCCTTGGAGCTGGAGCAGCCCATGACGAAACCCGCTTATCGACGTCTCGCACTCGACTCGCACTTGAGCTGTGCACCCCTCGCTGGTTCCGGGCCAACACCTGCGCAATGGGAGCGAGGGCGGCGTGAGCGCTGCGTGCACGCGGCGCCACTACCACTGACTCTGCGCTCGATCCGGTAGGGAGGAGCGCAATTCCAGTGCGTGGTCAGTGTGATGCGCGCGCTCCTCGCTGGATCCTGCGCGCGGCAGCTCAGCAACTAGGGTGCGCGTTGCGACACACAAGGCGCACACCAGGGCGAAACGGCTGGTCGCCATGTAGTGTGTGACGCTCCGCCCGTTGCGAGGGGTTCGAGCATGAGGTGGTTCATGAAGCACGCGCCATTCCGCTTGTAGTTGACGACCTCAATGCTGAGCCGCTGAGAGGTTGCGACGGCCGATGCGATGGCCTATGCGACACGGCGGGGACTCGGAGTGAAGGCAGTTGGCAGGCGGTGGGAGTGCGGATCATTGAGGTCGCGCTGTTTTTTGACACTTGTAAGGGCGACTTCACACCAGCCTGGCGCGGTCTACGTAACAACTGATTGAACCCTCCCGCACCCACTCCCCATACCGACACCATGTCTGGGGATGGGGAACCGACGCGCGGGAGGGATCATTTTCCTTTTTGGGGTTCTTTTTTCTCTTTCTTGGCGGCTCTTCCGCGCCAGGCTGAAGCGCTCCATAGCCTCTCCTCGCAACGACCACACAGCTCGCCATGCCGACCCGCAGCGCCGCTCGTGCGACGGACACGTGAGCAGCACCCACCGCGCCCGTCCCTGCGACGCGCGGCCGCACAGCAGCCTTTCGCAGCCGCCCGTCTCTCTACGCTCGCCGAACGGCTGGCCCTGCCTTTGCTACTCTCAGGATCACTCCTCTCGAGATGGTGAGCGTCCTCGCTGATCCCACGGCGTTTGGCTACGTGGAATGTGTCTGGTATGCGCTCGAGCCGCTGCCGAGCAACCCACAGCACTCGTTCTGCGACCGCTTTGGGCTGAGCATGACCGAGCTCGACACCTT